GGGCGACAGATGAGATCCTGTCTCAAAAAAAGAAAGGGAAAAGAAAAGAAAAAAAGCAATGAAAATGAATTCCAAGTGTTTGGGAAAGTGATTTCACTCTTTGTATATTGAAAAGTAAATAGGAAATTAGGAGGAGACAGAGTAATAAAACTACATCCAAGTTTGTCCCGGGCAACATTACATAGCTTTTAACTATCAAAGACATATGGCAGTGTCTCATGTGGTTTTACTTTTTTGCGGGGGGAGAAATGTTGTGGGAGTGTGGGGGAAGGTGTGCAGCAGAATCCTCCTCAAACCCTATGCCCCACCCTTCAGCCCTATGCAGAGCCTCCCTCTGCTTCCCACAGGCCCAGCCCCTCCTTGCTGACAGCTGGCCAAGTCCCAAGGATCCCCAGGTATCTCGATTCATATTTCCCAGCAGGAGTCAAGGCACCTACGGTGGAGACCACAGGACCCAACTATTATTAAGGACACATCCAACCACCATGGCCACATGCTCAGAATCTGCATATGTGAAATAGCAGAGCTGGAGTGTTGTTAGGAGCCATCTCTAGTCCAACACCCTTCCATCCACTTTATAGACGGGGACACTGAGTCCCAGATATGGAAAGGGGCTTATCCAAAGTCACACTGCTATGCAAGGATTTAACTGGACAGGTGTCCCTGCATGTGAATGCCCAATCTTCTAACAACCTAACTCAGAGAAAAGAAGGGACTGCATCAAATGTATTGAGTAGATGATGGGGCATCACCCAGATAAACTCCTCAACCCTGGACCAAGGCGTTCATTCCCACAGCTGACATAGGGTTGTCTGTGACAACTCACAACTGAGTCCCTCTCCAGAAACTACCTTCAGCCAAAGACAGCTGCCTCGCCCAAGGTTATGCCTGGGTTCCAGGGGCAGCCCACAAGCAATGACTGGTCACTGCAAGGATACAAAACCCCACAGGATCCCCTGGATCTGCTGAGGCCGGTGTTGCAACTGCATCACAGCCCAACTTCTCCATCTGTCTGATTCTGCCTCCCTCACCCCACACTGGTGTTGTTCCCAGAGCACACACCAATGAACTTCGTATGTGCAAATCTCTGTCTCACCATCTGTTACCAGGGAAACGCAACCAAAGGCGGTGCAGCCAGGGTAGGAAGTGGTAAGACCTCCCTGTGAATCAGAGTGAATAAAATGGTTTCACCAAACACTGAGCACCTAGTAAACACCAGGTCAAGTCCCAGCCTCAAAGATCCCCAGTGGAAGTAAATGCATCCATGTCGTCTGCCTCCAAAGGGAGACCACCTGAATGCTCACCCCACTTTCTGCTACACAAAGAGCCAGGGCTACTTTGGGCCCTCAAGTACTCTTTTCTTCATCCTCAAGCCTGTATATCTATGATGGTTGCTGTTTCAGAACAGGAGAGCAGCCTGCTTAGGAGAGCTGACATGTCCTCTGAATATGTACATGCCATTTGGGTCATTTCACATACTTTATCTTAGTTATTGTTTCTGCCTTCCTGTGAGGCAAGAATTTATGACCACCGTTTTGCAAAGGAGGAAAGTGAGCCTTTGAAAACCTTTTCCCAGATAAAGGAGCCTGTTACCTTCAGAGCCAAGATTCCATCCCAGGTGGCCACGCCCCATGGCCCAGGTTCTTATTCCCTATACCCCACTGCCTTTCTTCAGACTTCAGCAGATGCCTTAATGCAGCCTAAGCAAGTGGATGCCAGGGTTCTAGCCATGTCTTTCTGGAGCTAGAAAAGTCAGAATATGCCTTTGACTTGCTTACTTCTCCTTTTTAAGGAAAACTCTTATGCCAAAGTTGCAACGGACCTGAAGTTTCGCCAGTGTTAACTTTAAAAGTTGGGCAGAAGGGTTAAAACGTTTTGCTCTGATGCCTGTTTATGTTTCCAGAGCAAAGGAAGAAGATCGTAATAAGAAATGCTCTCATCTATTGGGCTGTACCTGCAGGAAGGTAGGGGGTCTGGATGGAGGCCCCTCCCAGTTCTCAGATCTTCTCCAGAGACCTGCGCTCCGTTCACTTCTCCCGGAGCTGAGCAGCTCCCTCTTCCGCTCCGCTTCTGCTGAAACTGGAGCGGAGCTGGTGGGGACCCTGACAGCTACAGCATTTTAGACACTGATGCCTCTGCCCCATGAAGAGGAAGCCAGGGCACATGGAAAGCCACTGCCCTGGCCAGAGTTCACTCTCATCCCTGGGGGGTCCTGCAATTGCCCTTCCTGAACTCTCTGCCAAGCATATGGTAAGCATTCAGCCAGCCTCTGCAAAGACAGGCATTGTGTCCTACTGCAGCACACATGTGTGCCCCCACACACTTACATGTGTGCACACACACCACTGACACACTCACTCATATACTACACAGTGTGGCCAAAACCATGCTTCCACTCCCCTGGGAGGTCGTCAGGAAGGGTCCTCCCCTGCATTCCAACCTCCCCTGAGTCCCCTGGGATAGGAGAAGCAGCTCCACTCACCGTTCTGCCTTCTCGGGAAGACTCTCTTCTGCAAACTCATCACACAGGGTTTGAAGAAGGGAGAGAGAGTTGTCAAAAGTTCCTCCAAACCAGGATCAGGGGTCCATGGGAGGGTCGATGGCAGCTTCTCGACTGGGAGTATTTGAATATGAGTTAAAACTACAAAGTAACTCCTCGTTACAACTGTTTTTTTCCTCGGCAGGGAGGGAGAAAAAAAAAATCCCTTTCCCTCTGCCAGAAAATCTTTAACGTTTCACAACGGTCGTTTCCAACTCCTGCCCTCCTTGAGAAGCAAATGTGTATAAAGGCAATGTTATTTCACTGAATCAAGCCCTCAGATCATAAGCCTTTTCCTGTACCACAAACAGAAATGTAAAACCTCAAACTTTCCTTTGGACTTGGAGTCTGTTGTGAGAGGGCAGAACACAACCCTTTCTGAGGTCTAATGTATGGAAAATGTGCCGCACTGTTTAGATCATCGCAAGCACTTGAATCTCTGCCCCCCTCTTCTACTGTTTTTTTTTTTTTTTTTTTAATGAGTTCTAGTGTGTTTATGTAATTGCATGGGACAAACACAACACCTAAAATCCTTGCCCAAAGTTGAAGTGATTCATTTTCTCCTTCACACACACCACACACAAACACAGTGCCTGTTTAATCCAAGTGAAAACGCCTTTCATAAAATCTGCAAAGAGCTTGGGCAGAGAGACCCATGGTGAATGCAGCCTGTGTCCCGAGAAGGGCAACTGGGCTCGGGGGAAGGTGGAGGCAGACTTTAATCAACACAAACAGAAGGCGCTCTGACTCCTGCCATGCCAGGACAAAAAAGGGATAAATGAAAAAGGGATTTAGGCTCTGGGTAATGGTGCTGTAAAATGTTTTCAGCCTACTCTATCCAATTTCCTCTGCTTGCCTTCTCATACCAGGACATTTTATTTTTGGACTTGGACAAGATGTACTATTATTTAAAATGACCAATTTGACCGCTGGGTTAAATAAATCCTTGGATCACCGTTGGAAAGACCAAAAGAATATACAGTGAGTGGGCAAACAGAACTGAAAACTGAGAAAGTAATATCCACCCCTCTAGTGGAAGAGTGTGATGATTTTCTGGACATAGCAATGTGAGACTGAATGGAAGGGAAAGCCTGCTCTGTTTGATAGAGAGAGAAAAACTTACCAGGAAAGCAAGTGAGACAGATCCTGGTCTAGTCCCTGAGTTATCTGTCACCAGCCAAGGGCCCCAGGTGTTTTTGGGATGGACCCCCTGCCGTGGTGCCTCTGCTACCACTCAGGGCTCCAAAGAATCGTGGCCACTGGCATCACCATCACTCTGCTCAATCCACTGCTGAGACACTGTGACTTTCCTATTCCCTCCGCACCCCTCACCCCCATGCAAACATGCTTTAGATAATCATTTCTCAAGGCAGTGCTACAGGTTGCCAGAGAAACTCTGCTATCAGCACCTGGAGTCAGAACAGCTCCCTGAGAGCCATCATCACCCCTGGGTGAAGGTGGGGACCCCACACTGGCACTTCATGGCCCTTCCTTACTCTGATTATTGAATGAACTGCCCAGGCTCTGAAACTGCAGGATGCTGCAGCTGTGCCAGGAGCACTGTGAGGGCCAGAAACTGGCCTTGCATGTTAGTGGTACCCAACGGCAGCAACAACAGGCAATAGGCTAGATAAATTCTGGGAATACTCTGCAGATATTAAGATGATGTGAGGCCGGACACCATGGCCCACGTCTGTAATCTCCGCACTTTGGGAGGCCGAGGTGGGTGGATCACCTGAGGTTAGGAGTTCAAGACCAGCCTGGCCAACATGGCGAAACCCCGTTTCTACTAAAAATACATAAATTAGCTTGGTGTGGTGGCGTGTGCCTGTAATCCCAGCAGCGTGGGAAGCTGAAGCAGAAGAATTGCTTGAATCTGGGAGGTGGACATTGCAGTGAGCCGAGATCACGCCACTGCACTCCAGCCTGGGTGACAAAGTGAGACTCTGTCTCAAAAAAAAAAAAAAAAAAAAAAAAACAAGAAAATAAATTAAGATGATGTGATAAAATAAGATGTATTGCCATAGAAAGATGTCTGCATTGTATTATTAAGTGAATAAAACCACTTATAAAAAACATGATGTACATATGATCCACATACATGAAACAAGATCAGATCTGGAGAATAAAATTGAGGTTTTTTTTTTTATTTTCACCATGAGCTTTTCAATATTCCTTTGGGCTTTTCACTTTCAATTCATACCATCTATACAATTATTTAAAAAAAAATAAGTTAAAGCATTGGCTTTAGAATTCTTAAATAGACTTTGTTAAATCAGTAGCAAAGACTATAATATTGAAAACCATGGCTCATAATGATATGAATCAAGTCTTTGACAAAAGTATGATGGACAGAAAAATGGCTTCTCCAGAGATGTCCACATCCTGAACCAGGGAACCTGTGAATATGTTATGTTACATGGCAAGGGGTGATTAAGATTGCAGATGGAATTAATCTTGCTAATTGGCTGACTTCAAAACAAAAGAATCATCCTGGATGATCCAGGCTGGCCTAGAGTACTCGTAAGTATCCGTAAAAGTGGAAGGATGAACTTGGGTCAGTGGCTCACGCCTGTAATCCTAGCACTTTGAAAGGCCAAGGCAGGCAGATCGCCTGAGGTCAGAAGTTCAAGACCAGCCTGACAAACATGGTGAAACCCCATCTCTACTAAAAATACAAAACTTAGCCAGGCATGATGGCATGGACCTATAATCCCAGCTACTGGAGAGGCTGAGGCAGGAGAATCTCTTGAACCCGGGAAGCAGAGGTTGCAGTGAGCTGGGATCATACCATTGCACTACAGCCTAGGCAACAAGCGTGAAACTTCGTCTCAAACAAAAAAAAAAAAAGTGGAAGGATCAGAGAACCAGATGCCTCAGCAGCCAATATAGTGAGCATGGTCCTGGACAAAGGAGAGACTGACAGGCGACATCTGTAGTGAATTCCAGCAGAGAGGCAACTGTGAGTTGTGTGCACCTTCCAAACACAACCACCCAGCAGGGAAAATCCTGAACTGAGTGAGTTGTTGCCCAGAGGAGACTGTGTTTTATATTAACAGTGGAGGGAGGTAGAAGAGGAGGTCAGAAGCAGAGTGAGACTTGAAGATGCTCTTCTGCTGGCTTTAAAGATGCAGGAAGGGGCCATAAGCCAAGGGAATGCAGGTGGCCTCCAGAGGCTGAAAAAGCAAGGAAATGGATTCTCCCTTCCAGTCTCCAGAAAGAAGTGTAATCCTGCTGTCACCTTGATTTTAGCCCAGGAAGACCCATGTTGGGCTTCTGACCTCCAGAACTATAAGCTAATAACTTTGCCTTGTTTAAGCCACTAAACTTGTGTGGCTTATCCAGATAAATACATTTGGATTTGTTTTTATTTTGTTTGTTTCTTTGATGCCAAAAGCTTGGCTTTGACTACAAAGAGAAAAGCCTGGAGGACGCAAAGCACAAAATTTATGTCATAAACCATGAACCTGGGAAGAACATGAGATGTTATCTGAGCAGCTTTTTTCTTATCCAAAAGCAGATAAAAGTCTGCCCAGCTGAAGGGAGGGTGACGTTCAAAGGCCACAGGTTGGAGCCTGAGAGGGCCTCTGCCCACTCTGCTCCTTTCCAAGGTCCGCACCAAGAGACAGGGGCCGTCCACACTGGAGAAAAGAGCTCAGAGACCTGTATCCCACTCCCTGCCTGAGATTCTGGGAGAAAAGAGCCTCTTCGAGTGTGAGTCTACACAGGGTAGAAATATTCACCTGGGATACTTAGACAAAGATTCCGGGACACTCTCCTGAGTCTTCCGTTGGGGGTGGGAGTATAGCTGAAAGTTTCCTGTGCCTAGAAGAGGTACCCAGGATTGTCCTGATGTGCCAGCTGCCCCAGGGAGCTCTTGACAGTCAGACGCAGAGGAAGCAGGATGACCTTCATGGATCAGAGAACCAGATGTCTCTGTAGCCCATGTGGTGAGGATGGGACCTCCCTGGACAAAGGAGAGGCTGACAGGTGACATCCTCAGTGAATTCCAGCAGAGAGACAACTGCGAGTTGTGTGCACCTTCCAAACACCACCATGCTACACAGCAGCCCAGCAGGGAAAATCCTGAATTGAGTGAATAGTTACCCAGAGGAGACTGTGTTTTAACTTAAGAGTGACTAAATTTACTTTGAATTGACAAAATTAACTTTCCATCACCCACAACAATGGAGATTTAAGAGTTAACATTCAATCACTTAGAAATAAATAAGGTTGCATGTTTGTACATAATTTTTTTTTTTGTTAATAGCTTATTGACTATATGCCAATGTTTGAACAAAGATTATCTCAGGCTAGTGGGATTATTTACTTTTTCTGTATTTGCTAATTTATTTTCTGCCAAAAGAAACATGTTTGTTTCTTGGCAAAAAGGGAGGAAATAGGGCCAAGTATGGTGGCTCATGCCTGTAGTCCCAGCAATTTGGGAGGTGAAGGTGGGAGAATTGCTTGAACCCTGGGGTTCGAGACCAGTCTGGGCAATATAGCAAAACCCCATCTCTTAAAATATATACATATAAAATATATATATATAAAATATATATAACATGTAAATAAGCATATATTTATATATAAATATACATAATATATAAAACATATCACATAAATATATATAATATATAAAATATATAATGTGTATATATATTTAAAAAGAGTGGGGAAGGGGATATATATTTGTATAAAAATATGAGAAGCCCTAGTCTTTGGGAGGCCAGAACTATGCATACATGAAGAGATTGTATTCTCAGTGAGGAGATCTTTGTTTTGTTCACTGATTTATCCCAAGTGCCTAGAACGATGCCTGGCACATAGTAGATGCTCAAGAAATATTTGTTGAATGACATCCTCAACTAATTCACATGCCTCTAAGACAACCTAGATGTCTAGTTTCCAGCGTTGATGACAAGCTTCTATCTTATTCTGTATGTTCCTAGGGACTTTGGTGGGAAGATCAGGCAGCTACATTGGGAATCACTAGCCAGACACCATGTCTTTTGAATTAACATTTCCAAGCTTGCAGCGGTGTTGAAATTAAGCTAGAGCTGTGGGCCCGTTGCTTTTGGCCTCTTGGCTAAGGAATCTTATGCACGTGTGTCTCCGATGAAAGGTCTTTGACACTGACTTCTGAGTTTCTACCCCCAGCCCCAGGAAGAGGCCCCAAAGCACCAGGCTTCTTTGCACAACTCCTTCCTCTCTAGACTATGTCCCTCAACCTGGAAGAATGGGTGGGGGTCAAACGGCACCATCCCAATTATAACCACAAATTAGAAAAGCTGGAAAGCTGGAATGAGCGTTGGG